GTTGTGTTTACAGCTGGTATTCAACATAGGGCGCAATTTAGTTATTCATCGCAATGGATTAAACTGCTTGGCTGAATGTTAAATATTTACAAGAGCTGTGATGATAAAGGAGACTTTGACTTCAGAGTCTATTACTTACATCACAGCATGTTGCAGAAGAATAAAAAAAAACTCTGTGTGTTGTAAATGTAGCTGTAACTGTGTCTAAAGAACAACTTTAGATCAAAATCAGTCTGCTGTCAGAGCAGGGCAGCTGTGGGTACAACTGTAGCCTGAATGTGAGAGTGAATGAATAGTGGAATTGTAAAGCGCTTTGAGGGCCCCAAAAAGCACTATATAAATGCAATCCATTATTATTATTATTATTATTATTAAAATAAAAGTTATTTTTTTAGAAAGGATGAAACATTTCTTATTGATTATTGGCTGAAAGTGATTAAAATTTTTAATGTTGTGACACAGTGCCCGACTCTCTGAAAGGGAGGGGAACATCTGAACGGAGGGAAACATTCAAAGAGGCATATGCCTGCTGAATGGCCTCCACAACCCTGTGGGACAATCGAGATTTAGACAAGGGTCTGTCCAGAAATCCAGAGTGGAAGCTGAAAAATGGCTGGTCTGACTTCCTAAACGGCCGGGTAAGCAAGACATGCTGTGCCAAAGCATGGAGATAGCACAGGGCAACCTGGCTCCCAGCTGTCTCCTTGTGCAGGTCCCCAGTGGGAGATATTCGTAACTCTGCATTTACTTGGACAGGTGAAATTCAAATAGGTCATCATCATCATCATCATCGTTTACTTATATAGCACTTTAAAAACACACAAGGCCGACCAAAGTGCTGAACAAAAGAAACATAATAGATACCATAAGAATAATAAATACGATAAAATAATAAACATAGCGAAAACAATAAAATACAAGTCAGTCAACCACTGAATCAAAAGCCAGTGAATAAAAATGCGTTTTCAATCTGGATTTAAAAACCATCACTGATGTCGATTGCCTAATGTGAAGAGGAAGATTATTCCAAAGCTTAGGAGCCACAATAGAGAACGCTCGGTCTCCTCTCAGTTTCAACCGTGATTTGGGGACTGAGAGCAACAGCTGCTCAGCTGACCGGAGCGAACGAGTGGGGACATAGGGCTTCAGCAAATCAGACAGATACGCAGGTGCCAGACCATTTAAAGATTTAAAAACCAATAAAAGAACTTTAAAATGAATCCTAAATTCAATTGGAAGCCAGTGCAGGGAGGCCAGAACCGGAGTAATGTGCTCAAATTTCCTTTTACCAGATAAAAACCGTGCCGCAGCATTCTGTACTAGTTGCAGGCGTGTCAGAGTGCCCGGTCCAACCCCTATTAAAAGGGAGTTACAATAATCCAAGCGTGAGGTTATAAAAGTGTGGATAACAGTCTCCAAGTCACGCCTTGAAAGAAAAGGTTTAACCTTCGACAGACGCCTGAGTTGATAGAATGACGATTTCACCACCCCATTCACGTGGCCATCAAAGGTAAGTGCAGAGTCATTTTTAACCCAAGATTGGTAATCGAGGTCTTCAGCAGCAACCCAGAGTTAGGCCAGAGGATAACACCTGTGTCACCTTCATCATTGCCTTTGGACCGACAGAGTGTGCAGCTCACAAAGAATCATGTTAACTGTGGTCTGGTGGGGGTCCAGCTGGTGGGCCGCACACCAGGAGGCAAACAGCCCCCGAAGGAAGCAGTAGGCAGTCCTGGTGGATAGCACACAAAACTCCTGCAGCATTCTCACTTTTAGATCAGGCCAGGCATGGAGCCTCTCCCTCTCAGGGTACAGGCTGTCACCCTGAGCCCTACTGGGAAAAGATGGAACAGTGACCCCCTCACCTGGGACACGAGGTCCCTCAGAACAGGGAGCTCCGAGGGTGTCCTGGCCATGACTGGCAGGAAAACTGAAAACTAGCATGTAGGACCAAAGAGGGGTCACCAGGATCAACCTCAACTCCTCAGTCTGTACCCGGTTAAGGAATAACTGGAGGAGGAAGTATGGAGAGACAGCCTGTGGCCAGGAGTGCAACAGGTTGTCTGCAGGTAGAAGAACAGATGGCAATGTGTCGATTCTCTGGGGGGAAAAAAGGTCTACTTCTGCCCCTCTGAAGCGACTCCAGATCTGGTGGACCACATCTGGATGGAGTCTCCACTCCTGTTGGATTGGGCTCCCCACGAGTGAAGCCCAAATGGGTCTAGGCACACCCCGAAGGTCTGCTGTCAATTCAGGGTGAGGGACATGGAGGCTCTGTTGGACTCCACAGTCATGCCCAGAAATCATGTGATGTGGGAAGGCTGCACGTGACATGAGCAGAGCTACATGGCTGCAAAACTGTCCTTTAGTGCAGCAGAAGGATACGGCCCGATGTAGTGGGAGAAACTCTCACTCACTGGGTTAACAGCCAGTCAGCCACAGAGAGGACCCACTAGCCACGTGAACGCACTGACAGAGGTGTTCTGACTTTCATGCATGTTTCTCACACAGCATGCTGGTGCTCTTGGCTTCTTGGTCTTATGGGGTGCAGATACTCTCTCAGCACAGTTTACCACACTGCTGGGTGTTATCTACACTAGTGTATTCAGCTTTGCTGTAATGTTTTGATTCTGGGTCTCATCATGATGCACTTTGCTGGTGTTTTTGATTATTGATTTTGATGTTATGAAGATTAAGGGCACAACTTCACAAATCTGAATACAAACACACACACAAAGAAGAAAAAAGGAGGGTGATGATGTTTCAGATTAATATTAATTGACAGATGCCTCAGCGTGTAGACAAGAGTACATATGACATGTGAACCTAGTGGTTCAGGTCACCCTTTAATTCTTTTCTGACCCCCCTTTGTTTCTCTGAGCAGACTGTGATGACTGCATGTGTGTAAAAGACTGTTGTAGGTTTATTTTTATCTGCTGAAAATCTGATACCACAAAATTTCTGTCTGGGCCTCCAAGAAAAGAGGAAATGCAGCCTGTGGTTTCAGCCTGAAGTCTAACGTTTGTCTTCTTTAATCTCAACACAGCACAGTGGAAATGTGCAGGTATGACAATGTGTGAAAACAGGTTAAAAGTAGCTTTATTGTGGTGATGACACATGCTGGACTAAAGGATAAATAAAGCATGTGGGCATCAAGAGAAACGGTGAAAAGCTTGTTTCTCACGCTCATGTCTTTAAGAGTCTCTGCATGGACGTGCTGTAAATGTTCATTTATCTCTGAAATAAATAAAATCATCCATCACTCTCTCTGTCCACAACATCATATACAGACATGTTTTTCTTCTTACTGCAACTTCCAAACAGGCCAGTTCCTCACAGTATAACACAAAACTCCAAAGTATAATCACAGCTTTGTAACCAGCAGAGGAGCCAGTAAATCATCTAAACCTACTGATACTAATGTGTCTGTTTGGCTGCTGTTACAGAAATGGTTCCTACACCTGTGATGATGACGTCAGTGTTTGACTCCAAACTGTCTGCTGGACTCTGCAGTATCACAGAGACTTGCTGTCTTCAAGCCTCATAACATATTGATATGTACTGAAACTTTTGCACTTATGTTAACATATAAACTGCAAATAACATAAAAACATGAAGTAACATCTTAATGTATTTTACCTTTCCCACAGAAAAGTGGAGGGAAGGAGAAACACACCTGCTGTTAAACAATCTAAAACACTTCGATATCAACATGTTTGTGAGTGTGTGTAGATGATACTGCAACAAACCTTAATCAAAGGTTATCTTTGTAAGAAAGTGTTTGACAGAATAAGGATAGATGCTGTGTTTGCAGGCTTTAACTATTATTAATATTATAGACTGTATATTGAGAATGAGATGTGAGAAACTGAGGTACACCTTATTCTCATATGGAGGGGATTAGCCAATCACAAAGTTACCACACCTTAAAGCTTTCACTGCTCTGTGTCCTTTTGGACTCTAATGTGGGCGGAGCCTATAGTAGCTTTCATTGTGTGAAAGATCACCTAGACAGGTTATGGAGAGACAGACAACCATTCATGTTCACATTCACACCTGCAGGCAATCATTGGAATCACCAGTTAACATAATAATATATGACTTTGGACTCTGGGGAGAAGTCAGACAGGTAGAGGGAGAACATGCAAACTTCACACAAACAGCCCAGCTGGTGGATTCAAACCAACAACTTTCTTCCTGTGAGGCAACAGTATGAACCACAGTCATCCAGCTCATGGTGGTCTAAGAAGTTTGGAAGGAAAGTGACTAAACTTCTTTACATTTCTGGAAGACGTGTCACCTCTCATCTAAGAGGCTCTTTGACTTCTAAAAATAAAACAGTAAAGAGTCTCAGGTATTTTAACCTCAGTGAGGGTTTTACTTTAAGTGGGTCAAAGACCCACAATTAATCACGACATCACATGAGCCAAGCTGTGAAAAAAGGTGTGGGTCATTATAGACCTATAAGTTTTTGGACTTAAAAAACACATTCATGAATCAAACCTAATCAGTGCTCTGTGTTTGGCTTATTTAGTGATTCAAAAATACAAAAGAGTGGCAGCACAAATAAAAGTTTACAGTTTGACTGTCGTTTTAGGTTCAGTGCTGCCATCTTGGATTGCTAACTTACAGTCTGTGTGTCTGCTCAGACTTTCCAAGCAGTAAATGTGAGTTTAGTTCCACAAAAAAACTTTTCGACTGGTAACTCAGAATTTCCAACTTCTGTCTTATTCAAAAACTATCACCAGAGATTTGGGATGAGAACACTGTGAGACCTTTCCTCCCCCCATCATGTGACCTACTGAGGTCACCTGAGGAAAGCACCATGGAGGGGTTGTGGCACAAGGAAGGGATCTCAAAACTACATTGTAGGTGACTGACAGCTGATGCCATAAGGCTCCACCTCTGGTCATCCACAGTGGACATAGATGTACTTTTTCACTCCTCTTTCAAACCGTCAGTATTTTCTGTTCAAAATGTGAACACTGGCACCTTCGTTTTATTTAAGATACTAAATGAGTTTATAAACAGTGAGTGAGTTAAATCCTGCAGGTCTGTGCAGTCACTCTGTGGTTTTACTCAGAATATTAATTAACTGCTTTAATTTGTTTCATAAAAACACATCTTATTATTTTCAAGTCCAAATGTCACCAGGATGCAGTAAATCTTTTGACTCTTAACAGCAGCAATAAAAATCAGTTCAGCTTCAAAATGACTTGATGCTTCCATCAATCTCTAACTTGATGTGTTTATGTGAACAGTTCCCAATAAGCCCACCGTGATCCTCGAACCATCCTGGCCTCAGATATACAGCAGTGAGACAGTCACTGTCAGATGTGAAGGAAGTCAGTCGCTGTTTGTATGGAGAGATGGCACATTAATCAGACCATCAGCATCTGAATACAGAATCAGCAGAGCTACTGAGTCTGACAGTGGAGGATACAGCTGCTGCACCATGAGTCTTTCAGTCTGCAGTGACATCATCACACTGACTGTATCATGTAAGTTGGACACATTTCATTGAGTCATATTGTTCTTTGTTTTAGTTTAGTAACAAAATCAGAGAAAATCGTAACAAACATTAAACACAGATGTGATGATCTCAGTTTCTTCAGTACCTGCACATGTGTAGTTTCCACCACTGCAGCTCAGAATTATGACACAATTATTTTGTTTTTATAATTTATTTGAAGTTGTTGATCAAACATGATCAATAAATACAGAATGAGCAGAGCTGCTGTCTGACGATGGAAAATACAGATGCTGAAAAAAGAAAAGGCTGATCATCAACAGAGAAGAGTTCTGTTATCACATCACAGCCCTGGTTGGGGTCGGGGATAGCATACAGTATGAAAAACATCTGTGTGAATTATGACTGATAAATGCTGCTGACTGTGCACTGGTTATGCATCTTTATGCATATATATTTATATGATCATGATCCTTAAAACAAACATTTAAATAAAAAACAGATTAACAAAAAATCTGATAATAAGAGCGACCACAATCAACTGGCCTCAGATCAGCTAACAGTGTATAGTTCACCTGTCTCTGCATTTAGGAGTACAGTTTGGTGACAGAGCATAAAAACAGTCTCACCTGATTCTTGATTCACTCTGATAAAGTTTCCATCATGTTATATACATCCAGTGTTAGCTCCTGGCTCTCTAGCTGGCTAACAGTTAGCTGAGATACCTGTGCTGTCCTCATGTGTGCTGCTGCCAGTTGTTGATTCTCATCAAATTTGCTTTGAAGAAACTTTTTTTTTTGTGCTGTTTGTGCCTGTTTGCATCAAGTGTGATGATCACACTGAGATCAGGGACCGACCTACCTGAGAAACCTGAGATCTATTATTGAACTCCATCCATCTTCTTAACCCATCATCCAGGGTCGTGACCTATTAAGCACTTACTGAATTAAAAAAATACATAAATTAATTAATAAAAATAAATTGGATTTTTTTAAATTACTATTGAGTTTTTATGTTGAAATCTTTATTTGTTATATAACAAAGTTTTTCCTGAAGCAACTGACAGGTCTGATGTTTGTCTTTCCTGTAACATCAACAGCAAGTAAACCCAGAGCCACACTGACAGCACAAAGTTCAGTCATACCAGCAGGGGGCAGTGTGACACTGAGCTGCTCTGTGGAGGGCTCTGCTGGCTGGAAGTTTGACTGGTTCAGACGTGATTCAGTCTCTTCTAAAGCTCAGCTCATGAGAGGAAATGAAGCAAACAGAGTTATTAGTGTCTCACAAGGAGGTCTGTACCACTGCAGAGGAGGGAGAGGAGATCCAGTTTACTACACAGAGGACAGCAGTGACGTCACAGTTGTGGAGACTTGTGAGTTTTAAACTTTCTGTTATTTAAGTTTCTCATGTGTTTCATACAAATGTAGAAATAAACATTGTGGCATCAACTCCAGAAAAGACTAGAAAAACTGCATATTTATAGCTCATTATCAGCTGTTAGTCTTTAAATTGTGTTTAATATTTGTGTTAAATATTTTTGGCCTCTCTTTCTAAATGCTTCTTCACCTTAAACTGACTTTAAGTGGACATGAAAGACTACATGTATTAAGCCACAGAGCCCTAAAAACAAACAAACAAACAAAAATAAAGGTTAATCCTGAACATGTTGTCATCCGAGGTCATCACCAAGCTAACAGCTCAGCTAACATCAGGTCAGATCAGGGTCGGTAACCTGCGGCTCTTCCGCCCCTCAGCTGTGGCTCCCGCAAACTTTGGGTGAAACAATTAAAAATAAAAGTCCCACACAACATCCCAACATCTGCAGGAGGAAGTTTACAGAGTGAGAAAAAGAAAAGTGTGTTCATAGCAGCAGCTACTGCAGCCAGAGAGAGTCTGACAGGCCCAGCTGTGAGCCACATGTTAGTATCCAGCTGTTCACTGTGTTCACCGCCTCCAGAGGAAGAAAGTGTGCTGCTGTAACCTTCCCACGCCTCTCTCCATCTCTGCACTTTGCCATAAGTTGACCCAGAGCAGAAAGCTAGTTAGCAGCTACGAGCCAAACTCAGAACACTGAGCATCAGCCAGAGGTCTCCGTGGGTCAGAGCCGTGGATCTGGAGATAAACCTGCCGTTCTGACACTCACGTCAACATGACAAAGTCTGCTTTCCACAAGGAGACAAATTTGAAAGTGTTACAAATGTGCACGACATGATCAACAAGCAATGATTTGTGACTTGAAAGCAGCTCACATTTGTGGATCTGTGTGAAGCTGGCAGTTAAATTAGACTCAAAACCCCACGTGGGCACGAGACGTGATCTGTGCGTGTCAGGTGATTCGTCCACATGTATTTAAGGTGTTGTGAGCTGTGTGTTATCACCAGATATGCTGTTATTGTGCAATAAATATCTTTATGTCTTCGACCCTGAGCTGATGTATTTTATACTCAGGGCTGCCCGTGGCTGCATGAAAACAACAGAAGATGATCGCTCATTGAAATGGACTGAAGACATAATTATATACAAATAGTTTTCATGATTATTCTTCTTATTTTACAATTATTGGACCACAGCTACATTTTATTTACTTATTCTGAACTCAAACAGACCTGCAGAATGATGCTTTATTTAAAGTAGGCCTGCACAGGCCTGTGCTGTTTTTCTCCTCTTTAAAGTTTTTGTTAAAAAGTTCTTAAAAGGTAAAAAAGCTCTTCTTCTTATTAAGACATCTTATATTGTATTAAGTATATTTATTATCACTCTTTAAATTATGGACGAAAATGTAAGAAAGATAAGTGAAAAAAAAACAATCCGGAATTCTCCTCTTTTGCTTTTTTTTTT